AACTAAAATAGGAAGTAAATACTAGGGAGATATGATTTACCTTGATTGTAGGACAGATTTGTAGGAATTTGATTAGTCTTCTTTCCTAATATATTCTTTCCTAATATATTCTTTCCTAACATAGAATTTGTAACTTGTATATATACATACGAGATTGATGAATAATACAACAAATTCTTCTTCTTCCTCTGTTTACTCTTATTTTACACATTCTTTTACCATGAGAAAAGTGAAATTTAATTTGTTCTAGTATTTTATTCTTCATTTTTTGGTATTCTGTTTGCTTGTTGGAACTTTGATTTTATTTCCATAGTTTCTTACTTTTTGAGTTTCTACTTCTACAGTTGCAGCCTTAGCTTGACCAAATCTTTTGAAAGAGCAGCAGCAAATAAAGCACGCTCTATTATTATATTGCCAACAAAGGGTGACCGGTAAGATTTGGTCAACTTAAGAGTACATTTGTTAATTTGGAAGGGTTCTTACCTTGCATCATCATAAGCTAGTTGAAATTGAAATATTCAGAGTCGCCTTCCTCAAGTTAGGCATATATCTTGGTGATTGGTCGTTTCAGGAGTCACTCACTACTTTTATAACTTTTTCTATTTGGAATATAAAAAACATATATAGAATAGTTTTCTTACTCTTATTCTTAAAATTAGCACTGTAGAGAAAATGGGCCGAATGGCCCATAGGCTGTTACTGTATATTATCTTTATGTTCTTCTCTGTAATGGGCCTTATTCTGGGCCCATACTCTTCTACGTTCCTTTTTTGTAATTTCTTGTCCAACTAGGGACCTCTCTTGTAATTACTCAAAGATTAACTTAATAAAAGAGTATTAGAGTGTTAGAGGGAGGTTAAGTTCGAACTCCTCATCCTCTAACTCTCCTTGCCGCAGCTCTCTCTCTCTCTCTTCTTCTCTAATCTTCTCTTGTTAGTTTTTTCTGGTTTTCTAGCACAGTCCCATACTTCTAGGACTGTTTTTCAACTAGCACTTAATAAAAGACTTTTTAAAAGAACACTATTTATTATGAATGGTGACATTTAATTTTGTAATATTGGTTCCTTTCTGGAATTATTTGAACCCACATTTTCTCCTCTAAATACCTCCTTCAGTGTTCATTTATCACTCTGTTTTGAGGTTTTTGCTACTTTATGCTATTCTTTGATTCACTGCCCCATTCCTGATATGATTGTGAAAGTAATGTACCAGCTGCATATGTTTGAAAGATAAGTTGCACCAATAATCTAATCCTCTGTAAACTTTCCTAGACATAAACTCGATTATAGCAGGGGCTCTGGCTCTAATACATGGCTTGAGGGTTTTTTTTCATTTGGGAACAGTAATTATTGCATTTATATAATGAAAAACATGTATACAAGAGGGTTGCACAATGTATAAGAAATATTTGAAGAACTCTATCTTCAAATATATAATATGGACTAGAGCTATGACTGGACTAAAAGACCCATCCTACACACCCGTTCTAGGTGGATCATTAGCCACTAAATTTTGTTCCCTGGGAATGAACCTTTAGACTGCATTTGTTTCCAGTACAAAAACAAATATGTACAAAAATGCCCTCTAGCCGGTTCATGAATACAAACTAGTTTAATTTTACACTGATAAATTTTGTATTCCAACCAAAAGGTTTCTGGTTTTAATGAGTACAAACACAGATTCCAAGACTGAAATCCACCTTTTTTATATTGACCAACTATGAGTGCAAAGTTTGTATCAATTTTTTGGATACAAACTTTGTTCTCATTTTGAGTACAAACATGTCTTGGAAGTTGTGATAGCTGTCATTATCAGTACAGAAATGTATGCTTAAATTCTTGCAAAACTGAAGCAGAGCACATTTATGTATCAAACCGGCATTTGCACCGCAAACAAATGCAGCCTTAAGAAGGCAAAGAGTTCAGATCATCTCTATTCTTGTCGAGTAAATTCACTAGTCTCCATGGACCTGAATCAGCTCTTTGGTCCCATCTGGTTACACTTATTGAATCACCAAGAACTAGAAGTAAAGAAGGCTGCATGGAATTGGCAATTCTTGAGCTGGTTAACAAGGTTATAATATTGGCTTTGAATGCATATACATCTCCTATTGGATCACTTGCCACTGAAAAGACAGGTGTCCTTCTAAGTCTGTTAATACCCCCCCCCCCCCTCCCACACACACGCACACACACACAAAGAAAGAAAGAAAGAAAGAAAGAAAGAAAGAAAGAAAGAAAGAAAGAAAGAAAGAAATCCCAGCAGGACCTGGGTTCTCCAAAGAGCTTTCATCAAAGAAGAGAATAACCTGGCTAATAGGAATGTAAATTATTTGAGGGATTTGAGGCAGCCAAATTCTTGATGTGGGGAATATTTGAGCAGCTGTGTTAGACACAACAAAAAACAATTTTTCTTCAGGTTTGTCGCAAGTTGAGGTGAAGGGAAACATGTGTATTGGTAGGTAGGTAGGTAGGTAGATAGATAGATAGATAGATAGATAGGCTGAGGGCCCCTCATTACCATGACTTGACTCTGGTATCCACCATGAGAACTATTTTATTCAGTGGGTCCAGGGATTAGGCAATTCATTGGCTGACAGTTTGCCAGGGAAAGTGTAGGGAGAAATAAGTTATATTAGGGAAATGCTCTCTTGGAATAGATCTTTTGAGAATTTATACTTGGTTTTCTCCTTGAATTGCTATGTTGTTGTTGTTGTTGTTGTTTTGTTAACCTTATCGTTTTGTAAGGTTTGTGGTCTTGTCCCTCGTCCCTAAAGGGCCTTGATGATTGTGCCCTTTCTTTTTGTTATCTTCTCTCTCTTTTATGAAGTCTTTCTTATTTGAAGAAAAAAAGGAAGGGAGAAAAACTAGAGGATATGTGTCTATCACCCTTAATTAAAAAAGGCCATTGGTCTTGGGAAGGGTAGACTGGATATTGACCTAACCTTTGGCATTTTCCCCACAAAGTGCCCGCTCTCGGACTTGAACCTGCATTCTTATGTTTGTCAACCCAAGATTTTACCATTTCACCAAGCAATAGCCCCTGACTGTGGCAATAGTTTAAACAGGTAAGAACCAAAGTACCCTTAAGTATGTAAACATGGATAACTAATAGAGATTGGGTATCCATTCCAGGTAGAAATAGTTGGTTTGATCTGATAGTGACAATAGGGGCACCTATGTATACCTCTTATTATTGTTTACATTGTTTTGTGCCCCCTCACACTGTTTTTCTAGATATAACCTTCACCTTTTCATGTTATAGATATTTGTATAGGTGAGGCATTCAGAAATTGACAATTTATGTGGAAATATTAATTTTAAATTCTCATATTAGGTATGAAGTTGATACAGATACATTTCTCTCTGTATTAGCGCTACATCCTCTTACAAAAATGGCATCTGTGCCCACCATTGTTGAGGTATAATACATATAGAGCTATTTTACTTTGGAACTATCAAATTGTTCAATTCTTACCTGGATGAATTCTAATTAAATTGCTTCACAATACAACTGCAGGTTTCAAATTCAAGTACATGTGAACTTTTGAAATCAATCTTGGGATTGAATGTGGAACCAGTTGAAAATGTTGCATCTAAACTATTTGTCCAGTGCTCTCGGCAAAAGGGCCTCATAAAGATCTACAGGCACTTGCTTAATTATCAGAGTAATATACCTATTCCACTTCAAAAAGTTCTAGGATTCAACTTTCTTCTTCTGTTTAAGAACTTTTTAAAAATATTATATGTTTTTTATGTATCTTGTCTTTCATAAAAGTAGCTTCGTTTCCCATTTATAAAAGCAACCAACATCAGGAAAAAAAAAAAGCTTTATTAAGAACTAAGATAAATAATCCTGGACAAGGAGACTTTGGGGGCACCTGGCCTGGGGCTGAATTTGTAAATCTGTTTTGTTTTTCATCCATATTAATAAAATTTCTTCAACTGATGTTGATTATCCAAAAGAAGGATAGGAGGACCTTGCCAACCAAGACTGTTTCAAACCTTAAGGAAAGTCATAAAATTATACATATAATCCCAACCTACAAGGAAATCAGAAAAATAATAAAAGATCATAAAAATGTCATCAAAAATATAGATAAATACATAATGTGCATATAGATACGTAGACATGGTAAATGTATGTCTTTGTCTCTGCAACCAAAAGAAATATAAGCTGTTTGCTATAAATATCTGCAGTAATGATCATTTTCTTAGGAGGCTACTACGTAAATGTATATATATTTTTTTTCAGTTGAAGTGACCTATTATTATCTACTAATAGTTTAACTGTATTATTGCAGAAAATGTATTTAATCTTTGCAGTTTTCCCAACCTAGCAGGATTAAAGTATAAGCAAATAAGGCATGGAGTTCAAGAGGTGAAACTGAAAACTCTTCTTCAAATATTGTTATTTCTGGTAAAATGGCAAAAGCTGCTTTCTTTTTTCTGATTTTTCTTCTCTCAATCTGCTTTTCCTTGTAGGCAGTTGTCTGTGGTCTTTATCGAAGTGGCAAGATATATTTCCACCCAAATGATGATGAGGTGCTGGAGCAAACAGATAAAGTATGTAGCAATTATAGGTTCTTCAACTTTTCTAGCCTTCATGTTTTCTTAGAACTAATAAAATCAGGCTTATATTTAGTGAAGGACTTAAATGATGATGATGACGTTGCTTTTCAAACATCATGTCATTAGTTCCTTTACTTTTTCTTTTGTGTATTACTGAATCCCATGAGCCTTCAAGTTGCAAGTTGCATTTACTGAGAAGTCTAAACAGGAAAGGAAAATTCAAATTGACATTTTAAACTGTTTGTCAATGCGCCTATGAATATTTGCTTTTCCTTATTCGTGCCTGAATATTAGTTTATTCTTTTTTATGCTTTTTTAATGCCTATATTGAATTTAATATCTTTTCCAATGCAATATGTTAGGGTTGTATGACTGTGCACACCCTAATAGCAGTTATATTGTTCATAAGGATCAAAGGAACTTTTGAAATGTATCCCTATAAGAGTGCTGGGCATGACCAGAAGTGAAAAATCTAATTAACTTTATTTAGCATATTGAAAGAGTAGGACTCCTAACATCCAGTGTGATTGCAAACCTGGTTTCAATAGGATACAAAGCATCACTGACTGTTCTGAATTATAATTGCATATTTTATTTTTATGGATTTTTTATATCGGAAATTACCTTCCTCTTGTCAAGGAAATTCAAGCATGATCAATTTTAAAATTGGTTAATGTCATATTGGCAGTAATAGAATATTTTTAACTGCTTTACTTTTGCACATATGGAGTTTATGAGATCTTGGCTACTATTAAAGAAAATTGTCATCTCTTAGGTGAATAAAATCATTAATTTAGAACTGATTATATTTTAAATCTTTGCAAGCAACAGTCTAATGAGAAATAGTAGTTTCCTTGCACTTTTAATGAATGCAAAAACCAGATTAACCACCATTTTCCAGAGGAAATCCTTGCATTTCAGGACTAAAAAGTAAAAATAATACAAAACAGCCCTACATTTGGTGGAGACTAATCACTATTCAATAGAAGAGTTTTTCCTCCAAACCACCTAGACAAGAACATTATGGATACAAATCCTGTGATATTACATTGGAGTGAAAAACAATCTAAATATGACACTAACTTGTGTATTTAAAGTTGCTAAATTTGATTATAATGGAAAAATAAGAGAAGAGAGAACAACACAATTTGGAAGAAAAAAAAAACATTATTGACGTTCAGCCTTCTTTTACTATTTATATTTTAGAGATTACAAAATAACCAAAATAACCCTGGTTGTATATATATATCTCACATTTTTTGGAACACTCCCCCTTAAGATAAGCATAGATTTTAATCACGCCGTAGTTGGTCTAAAAACAAGAAAGAACCATATTTTTTGTCTTTTTGACCTTTAATTCCAAGACTGTCATGTCTTCTTGCTATTTTTATATATAAAATTATTCTTCAAGATGATATTGTCTATACATACTGTTTTTAAAGATGATATGTCTGATAGTACTTTTTTGAGGATGGTCTTTTTTTCAAGGTCCTACATGATAGCTTTTTGTACAGATTCTCATTGTACAAAGGACCTTTTGCTTTAATACAATTATACTTCACCTTTTCTCAAAAAAAAAATCTTCAAGATGAGCACATTCTAGACTGAAAATTAGATCTTAAGTCTTTAATCATATATGATCCAGCTGCAATTTTATCCTATCTGGTGAAAATCACACTACTTTTGTCTCTTGAAAAATTGCTCCAAAAGTTAGGAATATCAGTTGCCTCTAGTGTCGTAAAATCATATATGATCCAACTGCAATTTTATGCTATCTAGTGAAAATCACACTACTTTTGTCTCTTGAAAAATTGCTCCCAGTTAGCATCAATGTATCCCTCTAACTCAAGACTTCCTCCACTATTATATAACAAGCCATGACCTGAAGCTCCCTTCAAGTACCATACATTCCTTAGAACCGCATCCCAATGTGGGATTCGAGGATTCTACATAAACCAACTCACTACACTAACTGTAAATGAAATATCAGGCCAAGTGATGGTTGGGTAGTTCAACTTACCTACCAACCTCCTATACTTTTTAGGATCCTCAAACTCCTCACCTACATCACTACTCAACTTGACATTCGGTTCCATGAGTGTTTCAGCTGGTCTGGCACCTAACAGCCCTGTCTCCTCTAGCAAATCAAGAACACATTTCCTTTGACACAAATTAATACCATGCTTAGACCTCGCTACCTCTATCCCTAAGAAGTATCTTAATTTGCCAAGGTCCTTTGTCTGGAAGTGATCATGCAAGAAAGTCTTCAACCTATCAATACCGAACCTGTCACTGCCAGTGATAACAATATTATCTACATATACCACCAATAAAATCTTTCTATCATTGGACTCATAACCGAATATGGAACAGTCAACTTGACACTGTTTCATGCTAAATTTCTTCACCACTTCACTAAATCTGCCAAACCATGCACGGGGAGACTGTTTAAGCCCATAAATAGCCTTCTTAAGTCTACACACCTTACCATCCTCCCCCTGAGCAACAAACCTTGGTGGTTTCTCCACATACACTACCTCAAGGAGGTCACCATAGGCATTCTTGATGTCGAGCTAAAACAAAGGCCAATCATACATAGCAGTAAGGGAGATCAAAACACGAACGAAGCCAATCTTGGCAACTAGGGAGGTGTCTGTGTAATCTATACCATACATCTGTGAATAACCTGGCAACCAACCAAGCTTTCAACCTCTCAACACTCCCATCAAGTAAAAACTTAATAGTGTACACCCACTTGCAACCTACAACATGCTTACTAGGCAGAAGAGCGGCGAGGTCCCACGTATGATTACGAGCTAGAGCCAAGAGTTCTTCCTCCATTGCTTGGTGCCACCCTAGAGAAGTAAGGGATTCCTAGACATCTTTAGGAACAGGAACAAAGGATAACATAGAAATAAACTGGCAATGGGAAGCAAAAAGTTGAGATAGAGAAACAACTGTCGGATCTGTCGACGGTGATGAAGTTGGAGGAGAAACCGGTATATGACAATGCGTATACACTTGCCAGATGGGTGGTCGCTTAACAGGAAGTTGCACTGGAGGTGAAGACTTAGTCACAACTGGAACAAGAGAAATGGGGTCCTCAACGGGAACAGTAAGTGAAGGTGGAGGAAGAGAAGAGACATCCAACCTAGAAAAAAAGGGAATGGACTTAAAGAATGCAAAATCAAGGCAGACAAAAGAACATCGGGAACTGGGGTTATAACACTTATACCCTTTCTGAGTCTTGGAATAGCCAAGAAGGATACACTTAGTGGACCGGGCATCTAATTTGTCCATCCCAAGACCAATATAATGGACAAAACACACACACCTAAAAACCCTGGGGGTAAGAGGAAAATGAGACAAAGTAGGAAACAAAACAGAGAATGGAGAATGACCTTCAAGGATAGACATGGGCATGTGGTTAATAAGGAAACAAGATGTAAGCACAACATCACTCCAAAAGTGTTTAGGAACATTCATATAGTGCAAAAAGGGACCGAGCAGTTTCCAAAAGGTGGCGGTTCTTTCTCTCAGCCACCCCATTTTGTTGAGGAGTGTAGGTATACGAGGTTTGATGGATAATGCCATGTTGTTCCAAATATTCCTAAAATGGTGTATAAAAATACTCTCGGTCATTATCAGAATGAAGAATCTTAATGTGTGCACCAAATGATTGTGAATCTTAGCATAAAATTTTTGAAAAATGGAAAACAATTCACTCCTTTCTTTCATAAGGTAAAGCCATGTCATTCTTGAATAATCATCAACAAAAATTACAAAGTACTTGCAACCATTATATGACACTACTCTATTTGGACCTCAGATGTCCTAATGGACTAAAGAAAAAGGACTCAACATACAACTATCAACCCTAAGACTAAAGGGAACACAATGATGTTTCCCAAACTGACACTACTCACAATCCAAAGTAGAAAGACAACTCAACGACGGAACAAGTAACTTAAGTGCTTTGAGGGACGGATGACCAAGTCTATAGTGCCACTAAAGAGGAGAAAGAGATGTTTGAAGGGTTGTCATCAAACCACCTCCATCAAGATAATACAATCCACCAGCTTCATGCCCTTCACCAATCTTCATCCCCGTCTTGAGATCCTGAAAAACACAAGAAGAAGGGTGAAAAGTGAGAGCAATTAAGAGACTTGGTCAATTTACTAACAGACATAAGGTTAAAGGGAAATTCGAGAACATACAAAACTAAGGACAAGGATTATGAATCTATGTCAACATTACCAACACTACATATGGAAAATGTGGAACCATTAGCAAGAGTAATAGAGTGTCATGTGGAGGACTAAGAAAGAGAGGAAAACACACCTGGAGTCCCAGTCATATGATCAGAAGCTCTAGAATCGATAATCCAGTAGAAAAGTTTGGATGCCAGACAAGCCATACCTGAGTGTGCAAGGGTAGTTGTGTTCTACTAAGATGTAGCCTGAATAAACCACTCATAGCCATCATCTGGGACTGATAGGCCCTCAACTACCCATTTGGGCCCATCACAGGAGACCTAGGCCCACGACATGCAGCAGCCAGGCCAAGCACAAGAGAAGCATTCGATCTCCCATGTGCAACCGCCACTGAGGTTTGTTTATGTGAAGAAGCCACGTCCCTCCAATTAGTTAGCCATCTCAATTAAGCCATGTGCAGGAGAGGCGGAAGAGAGAGTATAAGTATTGTATTACCTCACCGATTTTGGGCATGAAAAATGCAACCCTACTGATGTCCATCTCTCCTCTCTTCTTCCTTTCTCTTCTTCCCCTCCTCTACTCTACACTGTTTTTAGGAGGGTGAGCTCCCTCGAACCAGCTCAGGTTTTCAGAATATCAAATTAAGCTTACCAATTGGTATCAGAGCCTAGCACTGATGACTAATACGAGATCCACTGCAGTAGATGATCGTGTTGATTGGATTGAAGTAGAAGTTCACCGAACCACATCAGAACTGAAGGACATTAAGGAGACCTTGTC